AGTTACCATTGACAATACCAAGGTCAAGTTCGGATATGGGCTTCGTGGGGGGTCCCCACGTCATTGAATTAGAAAGTACTGCAGCGAAACTTCTGGTTTTTAAATCTCGTGATATGGACGTGCTAGGATCATGATTTTTAGATGGTAGGTAGCTCTCGTGCTCAGAAAGAAGTGCCGTAAGTTTGGGCCCCGTAGCAGCTTATTTGGGAAATGCAGAGGCATTTGTTTGAAAATGTTTGAAGCAGGATAGCTCAAGAACCGGTTGACGGATTGTTGTTATTTTTGGTATCTCGGTAGCTTAAGTGATGCTTGACCTAATTAGATGACAATTATGCAAATCACAATCTAATTTACATAATTAATGACAAAAGTCTATAAATCTGCTGCGTTCCATGATAGAACAATTGAAATGGTGGCATATTTAAACAAGAGGAAGAGGAACATTGACAGATATTAATTATGTAAATTGTGACCCAATTTGATTAATTAATAAGAGAAATCTATATGTCTTTCATACTGCACTAGACCTTTTTGGTTTCCACCCTCTGTGGATTACATTGCTTTATGCCCACAAGGATCGCTGGAAAAAACTTTCCTGTTTGTTGAAACAACAGAATCCTTGCGAAATTGGCGAAAGTGGCGCTTAATGCTGCATTAATACTGAAAGTTTTAATACTGGGTTAATGCTGGGTTAACGACTCGGCCAGCCTTCAAACACACATAGATACATCATTCATAATGTACAATGTAGAAAAGGCAATCTTTCTTTTTATTAATATTTGTTACATGTACTGGAGCAACTGCATAACTCTTGTAAAATTTGTGAACCCTGACACAAGACTGCACAAATGTACACGCTAATGTTGTAGGGAATACAGGAAACCTATTCATATCTAGGTTAAAACAACAAGTTACAGACAGGAAGCTGTCAACATTGGTTTTAGTTGAAAAAACGTTTTCTTTGAAATTGTTTGTTGAAAAAACATTAGTGGCCCAGTGCCCCAGCAGAGCGTGCTTTATATGACAGGTCTGTGGCCCCCAGTGTGAACATCTGGAATTAGCCTGGTTGCCAGACCCATAGCACACTGGACACAAAGTATCTCAGTTTGGCACCCAGGTAAATCTGGAATATGGATAATGTGAATAGGTTTCCCGTAATACCTACAACATTAGCATGTACATTTGTGCAGTCTTGTGTAGTACATTTGTGCATATCGTATCGTAATGCAACAGGAGTTAAAGATTTAAACCCGATATAAGGTCACAAACTTTGTTTTAATCGATAACATAGTTGGTATACTGTACACAATGGCCAGGTCACTAGAAGGAAGTGGTCTGAACGCATTGAGCAGTATCTAATCTTTATAAGCTTTGTGGCTTTAGCGAGGAGCACGGCGGTATTCTATGAATGACTTTGAGTTTGATGCCTGTAATCTTCTTCATAATGGGTCGTGTGGAGAGGGAATAGAGAAGCCCTGCCATTGAAAGGATAGATTTTCACGACCATATTATGGTCCGATGGGCCCCCACAAGAAAACTAACATAGCCAAACTGCGTCGCCAACCTGAGAAATAACCAGTAAATAACTACTAGTTCAAAAATTGAAGATTGTTAAATTGCAACTAGGATACATATTTTATTCGAATTCTATCCAGGATAAATTGCATTGACAGGATAGACTGGGACGGTTAGGTAGGTCACCCGAGGCTGACCTCAGCCCTGCCAGTCGTACCTCTGGGAACGTCCCCGGAGGACCTGGGCTAATCTATACCACTATCCGGGCTGGTATAGAAAGTCGGGCCGTTTCCTGCTAAAAGTTTGATACGACGGCCCCTCTAACAAGTAAGGCATATATGATAAATGAGTTTCTCTTTGTGGAGGAAGATTAACTTTCTACCAGGCACCATGGATCACTGGAAAAATAGTAGAAAACGGCCAAAATAAAGGGAATAGTATGCCGCTAAAGGGTCAGATAGCCCGCTAGAGAGATACAACTCACCGGGAGGAACCCATTTATCTTACATACCACATACCATCACAACAATTGGCCAGTTTGTGTGATTTTGTAACTTGCAATTGTCTTCAATGTATTGGACATCGCACGCTTCAACAACACTGGCTGCATAGAAGAATAATTTAGTTGAAGGAGTTTTTGCCGTTTTGAAGTTTGGATCACCGCGTATCGGAGGGAAGAAAACAACCTTTCGCGGCCAGACTCCCCAGGCCAATTCTCCTCTTCTTTTTGCCGAATTCTACGATCCGTATTTCCGTAGAAAGACATGGTACAGGCTTGGTGAATAGTCTGTTGCTTCGTTCACTACGATAATCATCTTCACAAAAAACCTACACTATAAACACACACAACACCCACCAAAACAATATCACACTGTCGAAGGCATGAGACCTCCGAACTCTAGTTTGGTATATATTACCATTGTGACAGCATTTTATACCCCGAAATAGGAATCTTGCGTCTTGTTTTAGGTCCCGATAGTAGAAAGAATGCAGTGTACATGTATTCAGATGGCCGCCGTGTAACGTTACGTACTAGCGAGCGCGCACGACAATACCGCCAGAGTAGAGTAGGTTATCCTAACCCTTTAGATAGCGCAAAGAAAACAAAAACGACAGA